CTTGTCAGCCGCATGCAGGTCGATGGTCGGCGACTTGGTGTTGAGAAGCTTGTGGAACCACCGTGCCCACCGTTGGCGAATAAACGTGGGGTCCCGAAGGACCTTGCCGTCCTCGTCCTTGATGTTCTGAGAGGAGAACGACCTCCTCCCTTCGACATCGATCATCATCAGGTGCCTGTAGAAACCCGCCTGATCCCCCTCGTTCTTCTTCTCGAGCTGCCGTACATAGCCCTCGAAGATCGTTTCCAGTGTTCTCCACCTCGCGATGCTGCGCTTCTTCCGCGCCGCCTTGAGCATCGCCTTCAGGGTCGCCTCGAAGGCGCTGTTCTTTGAGGCCCCACGCAGTTGCTGCTGGGCCGCCTTGATCTCCNCCGCTCGAGGTCGATACGGATCCGGTTGCTTCCGCTGATCCCCCGCACTCGTCGGTTGGGTGCGACACGGGGGGGGAGGCGGACGGTCGTAAGCACGAGGTTGTGGTCAGAGTCCTTGCAGTCGACACGTTTGACGGAGACATTACGCACGAAACGCCTGTCCGTCTGACGCATGAGGATAAAGTCGGGGCGGTACGTCTCCTTCCCCTTGTTGGAGCTCTGGAATGTGTGCTGCACTTTACCTTTCGGTGTCCGGAAGTAGGTGTTGGTCAGGGAGAGTTGGTTGTCTGATGCCAGGCCAAGGCGTCGTTCTCCGTTGTTGTTCATAATGTCGCGACCGTACGCGCCCATAATCTTGGCATCGCAGCACCCGTCTCGCCTCCTACCAGTGCGTGCGTTGGCGTCCATGAGCACCACGAGATGGTCACGGCTGTGAACCTCCCGGATCGCTGCGTCGAGAGCAGTCCAAAAGGAGTCCTTGGCGTTAACATCACCGCCCGCGGTGGTGCGGACAGTTTCCGTGGGGGCGTACCCCACCACGGAAATTACTCCGCAGGTGTGGCCAATTTGAAGGCGCACCTTCATCAGCCTCGGGCTAATGCACTCCACCGTCNGCAGAAGGAGCCCTTGGCGTTAACATCACCGCCCACCGTGGTGCGGACAGTTTCCGTGGGGGCGTACCTCACCACGAAAGCTATACTCCGCAGGTGCGGCCAATTTGTAGACGCACCTTCATCAGCCTCGGGCTAATGCACTCCACCGTCCTACCTTCCTCGCCCACACTCTCCCACATGGCCTCCTTGATCGCTATGCCCACACCGTGTACGCCCCTCTTGTCCTTGGTGCCAGCACGGGCGCCACTCCAGATGATCACGTACCCGTCGTGTGCAATTGAACCTTGCCCCTCTCGTCGGGTCTCCTGAAGTCCTATCACATCACAGCCGGTCGCGGACCAAATCTGCATGACCGTCATCACGTTGTGACCGATGGGGTTCCTACCGCTGTACGCGAGCGTGCGTACGTTGAACGTGCCGAACGATAGGTCGCCCTCTCGTGCCTTCTTCTTCGCAGCCGCCTTGACGGCCGCTGCGGTCTCGTGTCTCTCTCGATCCGCCTCGCGTTGCTGGTGTGCTTTCTTCCGTATTTTCCGAGCGGCGAATTTCCTCGCATCAATCCATCTCTGCAGAGCTCGGTTCTTGCCTGTGGTGTTTTGACGAGGAGGGTGCAGCACTCCCTCCCCGCGGTGCCCGCGGTCGTCTCCCTTCTCCCGCGAGCGGTGCTTACTGANGGCGAATTTCCTCGCATCAATCCATCTCTGCAGAGCTCGGTTCTTGCCTGTGGTGTTTTGACGAGGAGGGTGCAGCACTCCCTCCCCGCGGTGCCCGCGGTTGTCTCCTTTCTTCCGCGAGCGGTGCTTACTGATGTGGTGTTTACGAATCTCTCGACTCCTCCAGCTTTGTGGGCCACGCTTTCCGCGACGGTGGTTGCCAGGTGCAGTTTGCCGCTTTGGATTACTGCCGCGGGAACAGTGGTAATGTCCATACACAACACACCGGCCGCCCCGGTGGTCTAGTGGGTAGCCTCGTAGCCTGCTGAGGGCCAGGTCATGGGTTCGAGCCCCGACAGAGTGAGTTTTTTCTTGCTTATTGAATCCTGGTTTCCGTTGGAATCGACGCGCTGCAAAGAAAGCTCGTTGCTATTATAACAATAGTAAACTTGATCGACTTCGTAAGTCGCGAGGGAAGGGATTGCTGTACCCTTCTCGCGATAAATATATATAACAGGTAGGAACCGCAGGAGGGGGTCCAAACCCCCCCTCCTCTGATATGTGACCCCGGTTGAGTCATCTAGCTGGTAGAAGCGAAATATTGACTGACGAAGTAAGGGAAATCTGCGTTTTGTGAGAAGCGGCAGAAATGAACCTTGGCCAATCAGAAAGCAGGAAGCGGACGAGCGTGTTGGTTCCTGTTTTCAGTCTACTCGCTTCGCCGTGTTTACCGGGGGCGAGCGAGAGCACGTATGCGTGTGGTGGCCAAGGGTTGCTTTCTGCCGTGACGTTTCTTTTTGGCACGTGACGTTTCGTGGCGTGACGTATTGGACTGGAGAAGTTTCGCGTCTACGTTTCCCCTGTTTTCGGGGCGACATGGATTCGCATTCAAATCTCGGAAAAGGGCCTGCCGACGGGATCCGTACATCGGTGGATGCCTCGATCGCCGACGGCGGCGGCAGCAGCGGTGGTGGCGGTGTCCCTCCCTCCGCCACTGTGGCGGGCGCGGCTGCCGCAATGGCATTGGCAGCCCAGCAGGACCAGCAGAACCCGCCGCCGCAGCAACAGCAGCCGCCGCAGCAGCAGCCGCAACAGCAGCGGCAGCAGCAGCAGCAGACG